TCTATCTATCTATCTATCTATCTATCTATCTATCTATCTATCTATCTATCTATCTATCTATCTATCTATCTATCTATCTATCTATCTATCTATCTATCTATCTATCTATCTATCTGTCTGTCTGTCTGTCTGTCTGTCTGTCTGTCTGTCTGTCTGTCTGTCTGTCTGTCTGTCTGTCTGTCTGTCTGTCTGTCTGTCTGTAAAATGTGTTCATGTTGGTTTGCAGGCTCATGGAGTGGGAGGAGGCCCAGCCTCAGTGTGCGTTCGAGCACTGAGCAACAGAGGGCAGTGTAAAATCAGACATTTCAGACAAACAAAGAGCTTTCAAATCTAATTTTATTTGTTCAAAACAGTTTTTTTTAGTCAGTATAAACTTCTGCTCAGCATTTTCCGCAAAACAAAACATTTTCACACATTTTTTAATCTAACAGTATCCAGAAACTTGCATCACGCATTGTACACCTCAACATAACTATATTAACAGCACAGTGGTTTTTGGAGCCAGTATATAATGAAAATAAGCTTTCAAGAAAAATTTATTTTAAAAATTGTTTAGAAAAGCAGAAAATAACATTATTACTTATTTGTTCCTCACTTGTTTCCTTCATAGTCTTTCAAGGTACATTGCTGTTACATTTCACTTTTTTTCTAGCAACCATTATGAATTAAGAGACTAACTTTTTCCAACAGCATCTTGAGCTTCACCACTATTTTATTCAGACCAAACTTCCCTGGCCATTCTTGGCATATCTTCAGGCTGTGAAATATTTAACTATATGTAATGAATCAGAAATAGTCATTTTCTTAAACTTGACCATGTCCATTTTTAAAAAATGGGCAACGAATTCATCATGACCCCATTGCATACATTATTCTCCTTCCACAGCTATACTCTCATTCCTTGAGCCCTTTTAGTTTTATAAAAAGCATCAACATTCATTTATGTCCTTTCTGATTGAATCACAATAATTTCAAAAAGCACATCCTTCATCTCTAACATCGGTTTAATGAAGAACAATGAACAAATATTTGGAACAGTCGTACTGATACTACAGAGACTGGTGCCCTAAAAGTCTTCTGAAAGTAGAAAAATCCCGTGAATAATTTTCATTCACTTGTATTACTTGAATTTAACTTGTGCTTAAATGATTGTCCTCTCAGGCTGAAGTGAGCAACCTTGGCACAACCTCAGAAACATGTTTGAGAAGCAAAACTGTGATTTTGCGTACAGCTCTACAATATTCTGAGGTGTTTAAAAACATTTAACAGTTTTTTTACTTCAGGTCATTTGTCATTTTAACCTTCCTCTGAAAAAACAAGGTTACTATAATTTTTAATATTAGTGCCACAAACCAAACTCGTGAACATCTATTTAATACAGGAGCTGCTCATAAAATTAGAATATCATGAAAAAGTTGATTTATTTCAGTAATTCCATTCAAAAAAGCGAAACTTGTATATTATATTCATTCATTACACACAGACTGATTTATTTCAAATGTTTATTTATTTTAATTTTTAATATTATATATGAAAACTTATGAAAACCCCAAATTCAGTATCTCAGAAAATTAGAATATTGTGAAAAGGTTCAATATTGAAAACACCTTGTGTCACACTCTAATCAGCTAATTAACTTAAAATAATTGCAAAGGCCTTTAAATGGTCTCTCAATCTAGTTCTGTAGGCTACACAATCATGGGGAAGACTGTTGACTTGACAGTTGTCCAAAAGACAACCATTGACACCTAAGGGCAAGACACAAAAGGTAATTGCTAAAGAGTCTGGCTGTTCACAGAGCTCTGTGTCCAAGCACATTAAAAGAGAGGCAAAGGGAAAGAAAGCATGTGGTAGAAAAAAGTGTACAAGCAATAGGGATAACCGCATCCTGGAGAGGATTGTGAAACAAAACCCATTCCAAATGTGGGAGAGATTCACGAAGAGTGGACTGCAGCTGAAGTCAGTGCTTCAAGAACCACCATGCACACATGTATGCAAGACATGGGTTTCAGCTGTCGCATTCCTTGTGTCAAGTCACTCTTGAACAATAGAACATCAAAAGCGTCTCACTTGAACTAAAGATAAAAAGGACTGAACTGCTGCTAAGTGGTCCAAAGTTATGTTATCTGATGAAAGTAAAGTTTGCATATGTTTTGGAAATCAAGATCCTAGAGTCTGGATGAAGAGAGGAGAGACATAGAATCCACATTGCTTGAGGTCCAGTGTCAAGTTTCCACAGTCAGTGATGGTTTGGGGTGCCATGTCATCTGCTGGTGATGGTCCACAGTGTTTTCTGAGGTCCAAGGTCAACGCAGCCGTCTATCAGGATGTTTTAGAGCACTTCATGGTTCCTGCTGCTGACCAACTTTATGGAGATGCAGATTTCATTTTCCAACAGGACTTGGCACCTGCACACAGTGCCAAAGCTACCAATACCTGGTTTAAGGACCATGGTATCCCTGTTCTTATTGGCCAGCAAACTCACCTGACTTTAACCCTGTAGAAAATCTATGGTGTATTGGGAAGAGAAAAATGTGATATGTCAGACCCAACAATTCAGAAGAGCTGAAGGCCACTATCAGAGCAACCTGGGCTCATAACACCTGAGCAGTGCCACAGACTGATCGACTCCATGCCACGCTGCATTGCTGCAGTAATCCAGGCGAAAGGAGCCCCAACTAAGTATCTAGTAGCCTACTATACATGCTCATACTTTTCATGTTCATACTTTTCAGTTGGCCAACATTTCTAACAATCCTTTTTTTATTAGTCTTAAGTAATATTCTAATTTTCTGAGATACTGAATTTGAGGTTTTCATTAGTTGTCAGTTATAATCAACATTAAAAGAAATAAACATTTGAAATATATTAGTCTGTGTGTAATGAATGAATATAATATACAAGTTTCACTTTGAATGAAATTACTGAAATAAATCAACTTTTTTATGATATTCTAATTTTATGACCAGCACCTGTATGTGTCCTTCGGTTGACTTCAAGCAACATACAAAACCTTTAATCCTGTGGTCCGAACCATACCTACTCATAGTTTAGACACTTCAAGTTTCATAGAATATTTCAAAACAGACCCCATTTCTTCCTTTACATTAGTTGGAAAAAACTTTGAAAACCTCACACAAACTAAGACAGTAAAGCATCGACATGCTGTAATTTCCTTTATTGTTATTGTCACTCACTTAAATGTGTTAGCAGCAAAATAGATGTAAAAAGTTATATTTTGTACCCAAGAAAAATGGATAAATTAATAATATTTTGAACACAAAGAAGTGTTTATGATTTTCACCATAAAGTAGGTTCTGAAATACTGAAAGAACGTTAAATATTTTAAATTTTATAGTCTTTTAATGACAACTCACTGCCCAATGTTTGTTTATAAATAGAAATCTAAGAAACAGAATGTCATAAATTTGGTATTTTGTTGGTTTGACTACAATCTGATGAGAGAATGTTCCATAAAGATAAAAAATACATCTTTAAAATCCCCTTTAAAAATTCCAGTCACCTAAAACTGCACTTTAATCCACTTTAGTGATACAATAACAAAAGCGAAATAGGTAATTGTCACACTTGAGAAACCATAACATATGACACTTTTGTTAAACTTAAAGGGATAGCTCAGGTCTTTTCAAATGTTTTTTGGAAGAGCTAATAAGATAAGAATCAAATATTTTGTAGGCTGCTCTTTAAATTATAGTATTTGCACAAATTGCTACAAACTTTGTTGAAAATTGCATTTTCAAAAAGGCAGCCATTGGCTTGTTAATCTCGTCAAAAAGTAATCTATAATGGGTAAGATATGACCCATTGATAACCTTTCCAAAACACCTTAAAAGATCTGAACTATCAGTTGGAGTAATGTACATCAATGTATAACAGCTAAAATTGATTGATTTTCTATCAGTGATTAACTTACAGTAGTTGTTATCTAAAAAGCTCCTGGCCTCCAGACTTGGGGCTGAGCACGTCCCTTGGTGGCAACAAAATGTGGTTTAGGTGCCTGAACTGGATTGGTCTTCAGTGGGGGCAAAGAAGCAAAAATGCTGAGCTCAGGAGCACTCTGAAACTGCTTGGCTGTCTGGAGCCCAGTTGTGTATGACACTGGATTGTAGGGTGTGGGGACTGATGGAGGTACAGGGTGTGGAATAGGAGTAGCAGAGAATTTGGGGAGGCTGGGTAGCCCTGCTGGTTGAAAGGATGATGAAACAGTGACTGGTGCTGGAGTGACTGGAGTTGGATTGAAAAAAGCATGAGGTGGTGAGGTCATGCTGGAATCAGTCAAACGTTCTCCGAGGGTTGTGGCTGAGCGAGGTGCAATGACTTTGGGTGTCAGAGATGGACCTGACATGGGTGTGGGTGTGGAGAATCTTTTGATTTCATAGACACGGGCAGTTTTGAGAGGAATTTGTCGTGGTGAGGTTAATGAATTACCTACCATTCTTGTTGAGTAGTTATCCTGTTGGGCTTGGTAAGAAGGCATGGCAGCTAGATTAGCAACACTGCCGCCATACTGAAACATAGCAGAGTTGAGCTGATATGGCTGCCTCTTCATAAAATCAACAGCTTTGATACCTTCTTTTTGGAAGTTCCCACTTCCCTTTTTATTTTGTTTTAGATCTCTTTGAGGCCCTGATGGGATAGAAGGGGCTAAGAGTGGGTTGTAACCAATAGGTGGAGGTGCACGAACATTTGGGGAGTATTTCCATTGAGAGGGAAGTGGAGTACCGACATATGAGTCATGTAGGTGAGCTGCATTTTGCAAGGTCAAACTCTGCTGGTAAGGTGTCTCATGAGGGGTATCCACTACATACATTCCCATACGACTCTGCCTTTTGGCAAACAATTCAGCTCCCTTGCCTCCTGCTTGAATAATCTGTGGGGCCTCATGAGTGACTCGAGGTTTAGGTGCAACTGGGGGAGGCACCCTTCCCATGTCAACCTCACCAATCCTTTCCTCCTCTGTATCATCATAGATAACTTCAGTGGGTGGTTGACCATATTTATATCTGATGGACCTATCATCCAGGTTCTGCACCATTGACAAAAGATCAGGATTAGGGGAGTTCTTCTTCACCTCTGGTATGATGAACATAGGTTTGGGTTTGCCACTCCGCCGTCTAGCTTCATTTAAGATTCCAGTACGGCCTGTTGGGCCAGGAACTGGAGTTGGAGCTACAACTTCAGGCTGAGAGATCACTGGCACTTGAGCTACTGGTGGCATGGAAAACTGAGGGGGTTGTGGCTGAGCAGCTGGCATTTGTGGAGGCATTGAGGCCATTAGATCAGTTGAGCCAGGAATTTGGCTAGTAGAATTGGGGACTGGTGCCATTTGTACTTGTGGAGGTCTTGGTGCTGAAGGTATTGACACTGGAGTCACAGTTGAAAATGGGGCCTGATGAAAACCACTTATTGCCAGTGATGATTGCATTGTGTCTTTAGAAGAAGAAATGGCTGAATGGAGAATATTAACAGGAACTTCTGGTGTCAGGGCCAGGGAACCTTGAGTGATGGAGTATGATGGGGAGAGCACTGGTGTAGGAACAAAGGGTAATTGTGAAGTTACAGGTGCTGGATTATAAGATATTTCAGAAGGAGTGGAAAAGGGTGGAGACACAACCGCTGCTGAGGAAAGATGCTGACTCTTCTTTGTGACAGGTGGTCGGAAAGTTACAGGAGCAGTCGCAGCTCGAATGCTGATAAAGCCAGGGGTGAAAGGACGTGCCGTTCTATTTAGAACATTACTTGCAGGTAATTCAGGTAGTGGTGTTTCAGCAGGTTGTGCAGGGCTGCTCAGAACATTCACAGTAGCTGTGGCTGAATTGAAAGCCATAAGTGGAGACATCATTATGTTAGCTGTGCTAATTGTAGAGTGATCCCCATACGGAACTGCATTGGCTACATCTACTTGAGACTGAGGCTGTGTGAATGTAAGGCCAGATGGTGACTCCTGAGGTCTTTGGTTTGGTTGTACTTGTGCGTGCATTTCACGATGCAATGAATAGATCTGAGAATGATCCTGTACTTGAGATTCAGTAGATACTTGAGGTTGTGCTGCTTCTACCTTTTTGGCAAGCTCATCCACCCTTTTTCTCTGCTGCTCAAACAACTGGGCACCTTTTCCTGCAGTGTCACTCAAACCGGGACTTGGAGCATCTTCTGCTCCATCTCCACGACCTTCTACACCTGCTGTTGCCCTCTTCTCTAGCTTATCCAGGTAGTCGCTATCCCAAGTTGGGTCTGGAACCGAGGAGAAGCCCTCCTCATCAAACTCAGATTCACTGCCAGGAATTATTCCATCCTCTTCTTGTGAGTCCTGACATCTGTCTTCATCAACACTACCAAAGCTGGTGAGAGTATACTTCTTGGAACGCTGTCTTCTCTTCTTGAACATCAGCACCCCTTTGGAGTGAGGGTTAGGGGCATCTGTCAGTAGAGATGCAATTGTTCGACACTTACTTTTGGCTTCCTTCACTTGTTTGTCCTGCACTGTGTCTCCTCGGTTCAGTTCTGCAGAGTATGAAAGTCAAAGCTATTAGGAAACCTACAGTAAGTAGTGTAACATAAATACAGCATGAGATCTTCAAAGGATTTAACCTATGACTTGTGCATCTAAAATTGTCCATGCCTTCAGAGGGTATCCAACTCTTAACTTGACACAGAAGCACTTCTGTAAAAATTCCAGGCAAGTCTTAAGCTTCTCACCTTAGCTGGGGTGAAGGATAAATTTGCACATCATTAAGCCTATATAGCATCTATCTTAAATGAAAAAGATGTGCAAGCCAGTGGAAAAAAAATGCAGAACATAGGTTAGTAACAGGACTTTAAAGGGTTTCTATCATACTACATGTACTTTAACTGGTCAAGTTCTTACCCTCTGAAGGTAAAACATTTCTTCCTGTGTTGGTACATACCCTCAAATGTTAAAAACACATTTGTTGTTGTGAGAATTTAATAAGGTCATAATGATTGTTGAACAAAAAATTGTATTGCAGTGGAAAAAGGAGAGCGAAGAACAGTGAAAATGTGAGTCCCCACTTTGCTACTTGATTCCTGAAAGCAGCTGCAGATGGTTTTCGGTGCTCGCAGATTGATTACTGGGATTTTTACACTCATATCTCAAAATAAATGCAGTAAACCATACTGGCCATATTTTGTTTGACAGGTCTTGCTCACCCTCTTTCACACTAAATAAATATTTGATTATTTGTAATGGAGATTGCGAGATACAACTTTTGTATTCTCACATTAGATATTTAAAAAACTAAAGTTTCAAATATACTTCTTGTCAATAGTAAAGCTGAAAAGGTTATATCAGACACAAAAAGACTTAAAGGAAGTTTATCTAACTGCTTTTCAAAAGTGCTCATTAACAAGTTAAATGTTTTATAAAATGTTTTGCGTTTTAACTTGCTTTTTTCTTGTTGGCTGTATTTACATCTAACATGAAATGAAACCTGAAAAATGGGTAAATAGAAATAACAACATTTCCACAAAGTACAGTGTAGGTGGCAATGTTATTGCCATTTATGCACTAAAAACTAGAGTTTTATATTGAAGCTTTTACAAAATTTAGATTATTTTTTGAGTAAACATAATGGCTTTAGCCACACACCTTATTAATTTAATTTGATTTACAGTAAATAATTAATAATTACTATTGGGTTTATTTTGTTTTGGTTCAATTTTTTTGTTAAAGCATACAACATTAATAGGGTGTGCACATACAGTAACAGTGGGATTTTAAAATATAGTTTGTCTAATAATTAAGTTTTCTTTCTGATAGACATATAACAAAATTTGTTAGACATTTAATGTTCTTATTTAAAAGTGTTTTCAGCTAATGATAATTACTAATAAGGTAAGTACAAATACATATTAATGGTCCTCCTTAGTTTGACTTACTGGCTTGTCTGGCCTTCTCCATGTAGGTTGTTGTCAGCTCCTCGTCTATTGGTTTATTTACTGGACCCACCATGGGCACAAGCTGGCTGCGGGAGCCCAACATTAGAGCCTCCTTTGCCCTCTCAGGTGACACCAGTGGAACATTAGCTGGTTCTAGAAATCCACTGTCTTCCTCTTGTGCTCCATCTCGTGGGCCCTGGTCATCTGCTGAGGAGATGACGGAGGAGGTTTCAGTGGATGTCTGAGAGGACCACATTCCTGGACCAGGAGGGTGGAAAATCACTTCCTTCCTTGCTACCCCTGGCAAGCCACCTTCCTTTCCATTTCCTCCCCGTCCGTTCATTGAACGTGAGAAAACCTGTGCATCTGGAGCACTGTCATAGCCACTCATCTCTGATGTCTCCCCACCCTCTGGAGACGTTCGTTCACTTGGTTTTCCAGAGCTGGAGTTGCTGGGGCTTCGGCGTTTCTGACGTCGCTGCCTCTCATAACCTGCTATATCTGCATCGCTGTCAGTCTCGCCATAGTAGGCCTCACTACCAGGTGGGGAGGTCAGGCCACTGGTCAAAGAAGAGCGGCTACGGTGGACTTCACGGACAGGTGCATGATGGGGTTGGGTTGGTGACATGGCTTTTAGAGCAAAACGGTACTCTTTGTCTATCCTTGGAGATGGAGCGCGGGGAACAAGTACTACAGACTGAAAAGCCACAGGTGCCCTGTAGACAATTAAAAAGGTTAAAAAGTGGTTAAAATTTTTTACTCATTTTTAGTTCTAGTTGCCAAAAATCTAAGCCTGAGTGGTTCTTATCATAGGCAGCTGAATCTTATGAATATTTAAGTATTTTTTTTTGTAATTTATCATCACCCACTGCCATGAAAGGCAGGCAATTGTGTGTGCATGTTTGCGTTTACATGTGTGTTTGCTTGGCTATCTGTTAGCAAAATAAATCATGCACCAGTGAAAACATTTTAGTGAATACATACAACTGATAAACTTTTATTCTCCCGGTACTCCAGTTTCCTCTCGGACCAAAAACATTCATGTTAGGCTGATTGGTAACTCTAAATAGTCTCTAGGTGTGAGTGAGAGAGTGAATGGTTGTTTGTCTCGTTTGTCTCTATGTGGCCCTGTGATGGACTTGCGACCCGTCCAGGGTGTACCCCGCCCCTCGCACAGTGATTGCTGGACATGGGCACCGGCGACCCCCGTGACCCAAAATGGAATAAGCGGGTAAAGTTAATGGATGGATGGAGGATGACAAATCAACCTCAGTCACTGAGCTCTAGCAATTAACATAAGAACTTTATGTAAAACATAGGCATGAAAGAAGGCAGGCAAAACACACCACTTCAAGGAATAATGTATTAGCTCTGGGTTATGAATGATCCTCCCCTTAATTCAATAAAAGAGTCATTCTTACTCTTCTGCTCGTTACCTTTTGACACGAATGTTTAATATTCCAGGGGAGCTGTCGATGAGGTTCATAGCCTGGGCATGGGAAAGCGATCCACACGGCTGTTCGTTGATGGACACCAGCTCATCACCCTCCCGCAGTCCAGCCCTGCATGCTTTGCTACGTTTACGTACCTGCGGGGGGGGGGATCACAGATTATTCAGTTTGCATGGGTCGTAGGTGAATATGCATTCTCACAATATTTATGCAGCAAATCAAAAATAAACAAATAAATACATACATTTATACCATAAACTCCTGTAAGAAGAATCTAATTATTTTGTGTCTTAAGGGCAAGCTGAAGGTGAAAGAAGAGTCTGGCAATTAAATATTTCTAATGTGCTGCTAGGAACGGACATCCCAACGGTATATTATTTCAACGTTTTACACAAAATTTGTAATAAGTCTAAAGATTTGGTTTGAAAGGTTGTAACTGCAGGATATCCTTTTCCTTTTTTGAAAACGTCATCAGTTTCCTGGTATATTCAGTCTTCTGCTTTGATTACAGCAGGGATAGGAAATAAAAGGCTGACAGAGCCGTGCTTGTTGTCCTGTCTTGGTTTGTGATAATGACTGATGGAGAACAGATTTTGTTCTGACAGCTCGAGCTTGCTGTGGACATACGCCACATATTGCAGCTCAAGTGGGGCTCTCATACACTTTAACAAGGAAATGCCAGCCAGCAGCCATCTTCATTTGGTGCCTTTGCTATTTGTGCCAAACATCTATTGAGCTGGTGGCATTTTGCCTTAAACAAATAGCTCTGAGTCTTTGCAAGTTATAAAGAAATTATGCTTTAAAGTGCTAAGACAAAGGATTTTCAGTGACAAGATTTCATTGTTGATTATGCAGCACAAGGAACTGTATGAATACTGTATATCTGAACTCTGAGTTTAGACCATCTTCTTTGGTTACCCTAATGAGTTTTCTTTACAGCTATTCTGGTTTGTCTGTAATGAAATCCCAGGCCCCCATTTAGCTAAGCCTTTCAAAGTGGTCTGTGCCTGCCTGTGGCTCAGGATGTCAAGTTATTTGTTCTGTCAGTCACCTTGTGGTTGCAAATCATAACACTTATAATACCCATACATGCTTGCTCACATACACTACATGGACTGATACAAAAATACACATAGACTCATAAAAATAAACACACAAACACGCACATGCAGTCTCACAAATGGAGGTCTGACACATTGGCTCATTCAGTGATGCCCCACACTACGCCACCTGTTCAAAACGATACAGGACCTGACAAGACTATACCTTGTTCCCCATCATACAGCTGTCTACCATAAAGTTATTTCAACATTAGTCTGAAATGTAAAATAACTGTTAAAATAACACAATTTAGATAACGAACATTATTTTAGGCAGTTTTAAGATAGTATCTCACTGGACTGTGACCATCAAGACTAGTTGGCAACACAAAATTGTAAAAAGAAGAAGGAAAAAAAAACGTTCTCACTGATTTATAAGTATTTTGCAGCTAGCAAGCTCTGTGTCTATGTTTTAAGTGGCCAATTTTTGAAAACGTATTTTTGGTTGTAGTTTTCATGTTTTGCAAAACTCTAGGCCATGCAGATTAACACACAGACATCGTAAGCCATCTCAGTTTGGTTTGTACTTTGCAACCACCTTTGTATAGTCTATTGGAGTACCAAAAAAAGTCCATGCTCAATAATCCAGGTATACAATCCAACAATTTTCAGTCAGGTCAGCTGGACAGGTGAAACGTTTCAGAAAAAAAAAAAAAAAAGAAACTGTCCAGATTACCTGATTGAAAATTGTTGGATCTACTGGAGTACATTAAAAAAAATAAAGATAAGCAAAAATGGACAAATTGTTCAGTACATTTATTTTCTGTCATAAGGTCATAAGAAGAGCTCCTATACATTCGTCAAATACAGCTAAAAACTGTATGGAAACTGATTTGGGAAGGGTTTGAGATGCCCACAACAACTTTGCAACAATTTTGAGTGAAAACTTGGGCAATTTTTCTGAATGTATCCAACATTCAAGCAGCAGGACTGCAAGCTTCTGTGACTGAAACGACAACTTGCAAATGACATTTGAAAGACATTTTCAAAAATGTTTCAAACCCTTAGCAGTTTTTTTCAATTTTTTTTACATTGTTACTTGAAATTTTAGCATGTTGAAAAAAGTTGTGTAACTTATTTTTTCTTTAATTAGTTGTGGAGTTGTGTGTGTCTCAAAGACAGGAAGGAAGAAACCTCCAGCAGAACCAGATTCAGGACAAAGCCATCTGCTTCGACTGGCTGGATTTGAGAGAAACAGGAAGGAGGAACAGATACACAATGGCAGGTCGAGAATCACATGTTAAGATAGAAATAATATCAAATGAGAACTATTCAATTTTAACAATTCATTTTAGGAAATAAGGTCAATTTGTCCTCCAGTAGTCTAAGCCTATGGCAGCATAACAAGCCAACCCTAATTATAGGATTTATCAAAAATGAAAGTCTTAAAACTGGACAATGTGTCAGCCTCACGGACAGAAACTGGAAGTTGGTTCCACAAGACAGGAGCCTGATAACTGAAAGATCTTCCTCCCATTATGCTTTTGGAAAATCTAGGAACCACGAGTAAGCCTGCAGTTTGAGAGCAAAGTGCTCTGTTAGGAAAATATGGAACAATAAGATCTGTAATATAAAATGGAGCTTGGTTGTTGAGAGCTTTGTAGGTTAGAAGTAAGAGTTTAAATTAAATTCTGGATTTAAGAAAGAGCCAATGGAGAGAAGCTTAAACTGGAAAGATATATAAATAGGCCTTGACTTAAAAAAATAAGATAAATGGTGGTATAAAACATAACAGCATGGCTTGCTGGTCAGAAATACACAGAAATATCTTCTAATTTTCTCACAATTTTAAGTTGTCAACTAGTCACCAACAGTCCCAACCCAATAAGAAACTACCTTTATACTGTTTAATGGAAGAAACGGACTGACAAACTAATGTTTTGAATAAAATCATAGAAAATTTATTTAAAAAAAAATCTATTGAGCTAAATGAATATTTTACATGAATACTCAGAACAGTACAAGCAGAAAGTATAAAGACACTTGCATCTCAGTATTACTGCCTCTCCATGTAAAACAGCAACAATAAATTAAATTTCTTATATTTTGGACATGGGCACCAGCGACCCCCGTGACCCAAAGTGGAATAAGCGGGTAAAGACAATGGATGGATGGATGGATGGATGGATATATTCTAATTAAATTGTTTGTGTATGTTCAGAATTTGCGTAGGTTTTTTTCAGGTAGTGAGATAACACATGTTGCTAACCAACACATCTGCTTCTCCTCAAGTACTCAGTATTTGTGGATTTCTTTAAATGTTTGTAAGACAAGTACACCATGAAGTTACCAGTATGTCTGGGTAAAAACCAACAAAAAAGGTTTTTTATTCTCTTATGGGGTAACACTTTAAAATAAGGTACACCAAATTTGAATCATGAACTAATGTGTAGTTAACCAGTACTTAATGGGGAACACACAGCCAAGCCTTATTAGGGGACTACTGGTTTGTTACCACAGAGGAAAAATTATCCATGTGGGTTCTGAATAAACCCTGCAACAGTGAGATCACAGCTCGTAATGGTCAAAAACCTGTTTCCTAGTGAGTCCTGATTTTATTGGATTTTCTCTTTTGTAAACCTATTGATGAAAGACATTACTATGGGGGAATAACAAAGAGAAGAATTCCTGCTTTCAAACACAAAATGTGTGCTCTCAAATTCTGTCAGTAAAATTCCCGCATACATTAGCAATTTCATAATCTTGTAATGCTGGTGCAGGGTTTATTCAGAACCCAAATGAAGAATATGGAATCCAGACCAGATCCGTCCTTGAAACCGGTCCGACTCCCTGTCTGGTTCTGGTGTCTGGTTCTTTTATTCCCAGATGGAGAGGAAACTCACTCTAACTCAAATAAATCAAGATATATATATTTTCAGTTTACCAATTTAATGTCTATTAGGCAGGAAAAAGTTACAGGTTCAGCGCTGATGTGTCCGTCCGACTCATCTTAACCCGGAAGCAGAAGCGGAGGCACCGTGTAACAGAAGGCCCCAGCTTATATTGGCCCTTGGTTCTGCCCCCACATCCGGGGTGAGCACAGCCTATCAGAGCGTACCAGTGGGGTGACTGTGTGACATCATTGATCTTATCTGTTTCTGATGGTGAAAAAATGGGGTGAAGTTCAAGTTCAAGTTGTCCTGAAGTTTCTCCTTTGTTTCTGTGGTAACAAACCACCATCCATCCATCCATCCATCCTCTTCCGGTTGTTCTGAAGACACGTTGCGGGGGCAGCAGCTTGAGCAGGGAGGCCCAGACATCTCTTTCCACAGCCACCTCTTCCTGCTCATCTGGGAGGACCCCAAGGCATTCCCAGACCAACTGAGAGACATAGTCTCTCCAGCGTGTCCTGGGTCTCCCCCGGGTTCTCCTCCCAGTTGTACATGCCTGAAGCACCTCTCTAGGGAAGCGCCCAGGAAGCGTCCTCACCAGATGCCCGAACCACCTCAACTGGCTCCTCTTGATATGGAGGAGCAGTGGTTCTACTTTGAGTTTCTCCTGGATAACTGAACTTCTCACCCTATCTCTAAGGGAGAGTCCAGCTACCCTCTAGAGGAAACTCATTTCAACTGCCTGTATCCACAATCTCATTCTTTCGGTCACTACCCATAGCTCGTGAACATAGGTGAGGGAACATAGACTGACCAGTAAACAAACCAGTAGTCCCCTAACAAGGCTTGGCTGTGTTCCCCAGTAAGTACTGGTTAACTACCCATTAGCTCCTGATTAGTTTCTCTTTGGTTTTCTTGGTAACTATCCATTAGTTCTTGATTAGTTCCTCTTCATTTACAAGATAACTAATCAGTAGTCCCCTTAGAAGGCTTGGTGGTGTGTTCCCTAGTAAGTACTGGTTAACTACCAGTTAGCTCCTGATTCATTCCTCTTTGGTTTACTTGGTAACTATCCATTAGTTCTTGATTAGTTCTTCTTCATTTACAAGGTAACTAACCAGTAGTCCCCTAATAAGGCTTGGCTGTGTGTTCCCCAGTAAGTACTGTTTAACTACCAGTTAGCTCCTGATTTGTTCCTGATTCGTTCCTGAGGCGTTTCCTAGTAGTTAATCAAATTTAGTGTACCTTATTGTAAAGTGTTTTTACTGTTACTGATTTGGAAATGTGATGTCAAACATATGTTTTTTTTTCATGTACAGTTCAAGACTGGTATTTGGACTGTTTCACATGGGCCAAATGTGGACACTAAATGAAGATTTTGCTCCAGAAGAGTCAAATGAACTGAGCAGCTTCATTAGCACCAATGTCTTAAGCACTTCTGAATATTTTGCTTCTCAAACCAATAATAGAGACAAGCATTGTTCAGTAAAATATACAGTTTCAACCACTCACATACAAAGTTCTGGATCAGCTGCACTTTAGTTTCTTCACAATTATTCTTAAAGGTGTTTATTGGAAGAAGAGGCATTTTGTGAAAATATCATATGAGATTACAGCCACAACATTTTATACTTAAAGTTCAAAGTTCACCTAATCACTCATCAATACACACCTGCACACAGACCCTTATAAAAGAAGATCATGACTCATGTCTGGGCTCCGAACCAACCTGCACAGGAGCCAATGTTCCATTTCAGTTTTCTTCACAGCTCTTTAAATCTATTCCTGATATATCTCCAGCTAATGTTTCACATCTGTTTGGTGAAGCTGTTAATATTACTGTTTTTTTACATTCTCAACGCCCCCTCCACAAAAATAATAATGTTTGAATTGAACTTTTACTTAAACAAAAATCTACGTACCTTAGCAACTTGGAGCGGTTTCTGATGTTCCACACCTCCCTGAAGACGAAACCCCCATGGCACTCCACCGGACAGTGTAATGATGACCTCCTCTGCAACCATTTTTTTTTCTTCTTGTCTATTTTTTTTTCTCTTATTCTTTGATTTTTATATTTTATCTGAGGGCCACCCCTCTCAGTGTTTTAGCTACATAGAGCTCTGATCCTCTCTGTCCTGCTGCTGATGGTCGTCTGAACGCCACAGCCAGCACTCACACCTGCACGCGCACACGCACACTTCATGCCCCCACCCATACCCAGAGTGAAACAGCCATCTTAGTCTCTGGAAGGAAAGAGGGAAAACGAAATACGATGGGAGGGGGGGTTCTAAGTCTGCTTACACTGAGGAATGTCTGCCCCAAATGAGGGAGGGGAGCATCCAGCTCAACACTTGTGCTGTCACTCAGCCCCGTGCCACTGGGCTGATGACAGCTCTTCCAAAAATAGGACACGACCACCTTTTCTGCTTTGTCGGCTTCTTTGTAGACCAAATGAAAAGTTAACTTTCAGACCATCCTGATGGCCGGGTTGAATGTCTGACATTAAGGTCGTTTATAACCTGCAGTCTGGTCACAACTAGACTTTCAAATCTCACATGGACTTGGTGTTGGATGGCTCCTTAATTCTGGTTAATTGGTTTTAGATGGTCCTTAAATTAAGCTAAGAGGTGCTGATAGAAATCAGTGATGTAGACAATCAGCAGACTGACTTTCATTCCTGTTACTTTTCAACTTTTATGCTGATTTTATAGAATCAGCATAAATAGTTGTTGCAGCCTGCAGTCATGTTGCTTTTTGATATAAATCCTATACCCAAGTTTTACACAAGGGCTGTTCAACTGATGGTTCAGGGGCCACATCCAGCTGACTACAAGCTCAGTCCAGCCCCATGAAGAGATCGTTTAAAAATAAAACTAGACTTTACATCAGGGGGAAAAAAACTGTGAGAGAAACATTTAAATAATCTGTAATGCCAAATATTTCCATCAAAGACGTGATCCTGTTATATAAATGATCAGGGTATATAGCTCAGTCCACCTGCCAATTAGTTCAATTTAAAATGAAACTAGAGATTACATCTTAGTTTAAACTGATAGAATGACAATAATGACGTGTGTCAGGCACCTTGCGTTTCAGTAACTGTGTCACCCTGATCAATATAGATTAATTACTTTGCTTTATATAAATGCAAAGGATGTGTTTAAGTGTGTTTCAGTTTTACAGAATAATTTCTATTAACTTAAATGCAAATACACAGGGGAAAACATGACTGAATTAAAAGAGTCTCAAACATACAAAAATGTAGCTATCTCACTTCCTTGCACCCATTTAAAATCCGGAGGCTTTGGACAAAAAAGAAATCAGAACAAACATCTGTGACTCATACAGATGTTCTACCCTCTACGTTCTGTGCAAGTGATGTGGTCTGCACATGTGTCAGCTAATATTTTCTTAGCTTAAAAGCATTATTTAATCAAGAGCATTCTTGTTCACCATCATAGTTTTCTTCATCTGGTAATCAATACAGACTATTGGAAACAACTGATTTGATTCAATCAGTTGAACCAGTTTTTGTTGATTTGAGTCAGTCTTGACGAACATGTTTTAAAAATGTCTCATCAGCAACTTATCTTATTATCAACTTATCAGCACATTTCTTACAGTTAATGACCTAATGAATCAATTTTATTTTTAAGAAGCATCAGAAGAGAGACGTTTTATGGAAATAGTAATTTAATTAAGAAGCAACTGATTTATTAGGTCATTAACTATAATAAAGGAATTGAGTAGTTTGATCCTAATGCACATAAATCTTAACAACTCTGGTCCTGAGGAAAGAAGATCAATCTTACTCCATTTGTTGTCTTCAGGTCTCACTCCTAACCTCTTTCTAGTTGCTATATTATTAAATTACTGACAATTAGGAAGAAGCCCCAGTGAAAGTAAACTTTCCTGAGAAGTAAGGTATTTTAAACACAATTTATGGTTCCTTTAAATCTGTTAAGGAAAGTTGCACAGCTATTATCAGTGCTGCAGGAGTTTAGATAGCTGCTGCACTTGGCAGACTTGCTCTGCACCTGTCTCCAGACCACAGGAGGATAACTTAGATCAGTCCTTGGTCACACGCTCAGAAATGTTGCCCCCTTTTGTCCTGGAGATGATACAGTGTCTAACTGAACACTACAGCTTTAACCATTAGTCACACATAGGCACAGACACAAAGGATCATTTAAAGGGACATTACAAAGCAGTAGTAGGATAACTGAGAACAAACACACAGGTAGAGACTAATTAATCACTTGTGCCTATCACTATTTCTTACAGCTTTTTGTTCTGCTGCTTAAAGCAGAAAGGGTGATGAGGTTTTTTGCTCATGTCTATGTGTGTTTATTTGATGTGTTAGCAAACAATGTGTTCAGGTAGTGAAACATTTGCACCATAAAGTGTTTAGCTCCACAAAAGCAAGGGGTAAAGTAAAGAACTCCCCAAAAAATCTTTAAAACTTGGGGAACACTTTTTTAAATTTAAAAGCAACTTCTGATTATTTAAGGTTATTATTATTATTATTGTTATTAATTCTTTAAAACTCTCAACAACCTAGCTCCATCTTATATTCGAGATCTTATTGTTCCATATTTTCCTAAAACAGTACTTCGCTCTCAGACTACAGGCTTACTCACAGTTCCTAGAGTTTCCAAAAGCAGAATTGAAGGAAGATTTTTCAGTTATCAGGCTCCTCTCTTGTGGAACCAACTTCCAGTTTCTATCCGTAAGGCTGATACTTTGTCCAGATTTAAGACTGGGCTTAAGACTTTTCTTTTTGATAAATCCTATAGTTAGCGTTGGCTTGTTATGCTGCTATAGGCTTAGATTATAGGAGGACAAATTGACCTTGCTTCTTAAAATGAATTGTTAAAATTGAATAGTTTTCATTTGATACTATTTCTATCTTAACATGTGATTCTTGACCTGCCATTGTGTATCTGCTCCTCCTTTTGTTCCTCTCAAACTCAGCCGGTTGAAGCAGATGGCCACTTGTCCTGAGCCTGGTTCCGCTAAAGGTTTCTTCCTCATGAGGGAATTTTTCCTTCCCACTGTTGCCTTTCTGATTGTTCAAGACCAGAGTCTGTGATGAAGTTAAACTCAAAACAGTCTGCTCAGCAGATAAATTGTGTAAACTTATTTCATATATATATATGAATGTTTCTGTTCAGTGCCCTGAGACGACTTCTGTTGTGGCTTGGCGTTATATAAATAAATTTAGACACATCGCTACAGGGGGTAGTGCAAACAGCAGAGGACATCACTGGTAACAGTCTCCACAACATCCAGAACATTTACCACAGCCAATGTCTGCGTAAATCACGCAGCATCATTAAGGATCACACCCACCAAGCATATGGATTCTTCCGTCTACCCTCAAGCAGACGAGACAGGAGTCTGCAGTCGAGCACGAAAAGACTCAAAGACAGTTATTATCCAAAAACTGTCAGATTACTAAACTCTTGATCAATAATACTGAACTATTGACAATAACATTGCACCAAGCCACATCTGTGACACCTAATATGAATAGAGGTGAGGTTTTCTGTTTGGGTAGCTTTTAACATTTCTGATAGTGGAGACGGTGTCAGTACATGTAC